TCTGTACATCGATTTCTGTGATTTCTTCTCCAGGTTCCACGCGGTCTTCCCCTTGATCTCTTACCCTGTGGTTTCCAATCCAAAACTATCATTTCACCTTTTCCTCTTTCATCTCCTCTTCAGGGTCGCGGAGGAGGTCGTCGCCCGGGAGGGGGAGGTCGTAGACCAGGAGGAGGTCGTAGACCCGGAGGGGGGCGTGGTCCTCCAGAGGGAAGTGACGTGTACAAATGGACTCGTGACCTGGGGATTGGAACGTCCATGAACGAAACCGCCGTCAAGTTACCGTGAGTGTTTCACACACACACACACAGATACACACACACACACACACACACTCTCTCTCTCTCTCTCTCTCTCTCTCTCTCTCTCTCTCTCTCTCTCTCTCTCTTTCTCTTCTCTTCTACCTCTCTCTTTATCTGTCTCTTTTTCTCTCTCTCTCTCTCTCTCTCTCTCTTTATCTCTCCCTCTCTGTCTCTCTTTTTGTCTCTCTCTATCTTTGTCTTTCTCTCTTTCTCTCTCTTCTTATCGCTCTCTTTCTCTGTCTCTGTCTCTGTCTCTGTCTCTGTCTCTGTCTGTCTGTCTCTCTCTCTTTTTCAATATGCTCCCCCCCCACCCCACGTCTCTTCCAACACACGGGAACACGCACATACACGAACATAAACACATTATAGTCATAATATACAGGCACAAGCATGCACGCAAACACGTTCACACACGAACATACATACACAAAGATAGATACATTTATCAAACGAGCTTCTATTATAGCTTATTACAGCCAGATAGGGTGTGAGAATATGTGTGTCTTCAGAAATGGTGATTTTCGATTGTTCCAGAAACTCAGTTTCCCCCACCAGGGCAGTGGACTGAAGTTGTCTTTCGGCCATTCCCAAAGGGGGATATTAACATTCTTTTGCACAGTAGAATTGTAAATGGGCTAATGTATCAAAGTCATACTCAGACTGTGCTGGAACAACATAGGGGGAACTGCTGCTTGTTTCTTTCCTCATCCTTACTATCGTCCTTTCCCTCCACTTTTTGAATGTCTGTTACTTTTTTGTGAACCGCTAGTTCCGGGGTTGCTTGCTAGTCGAAAAAGACTTTGTGCTGTTGAGGCTAGAGAGGTGAGCAGAGTAAGCCTGATTTCCCGTTTGGACCTCTCTGTTGACATCCACCCCTTGGCGCTCATAAATATATATACAGTTGCGAGCGCCGTAGAACCCAACTAAAACAAAAAACAAAGAAACTCCGTTTTCTGTTCATTTTCTGTTTTCTTTTCATTACCTTTCTCTCGCTTTGTACAAAACAATTACTGGTGCACTTTCGTTCCTTTCTTCTGATCTCGACAACACAATGACTGTTATACATTTGTTTCTTTCTCTTTCTCTAGACAACACGATGTTTTACTTTCGTTCCTTTTTCCTGATCTCGACAACACAATAACTGTTATACATTTGTGAAGCGTGCTGACAAAACGAGTTACTTCTCAGATTCAAGCCTTAAAGAAATAGATAAATCACGCTTATAGGTGAAGTTTTTACAGTTTATAAGTATGGAAAAATAAAAGACAGGTTATAGTTAAAGAATATGGCATCAATTGAAAATCTACAAGTTTGACCCTAGTGTCGAATTTTTGGCCAATATCTCCTTTTGTGGATTGCGAGAAGTAACTCATTTTGTCAGCATGCTTCACATATGTTCGTTTCCTTTCTCTTTCTTTGGACAAGAAAGTAACTCTTACACTTTTGTTCCTTTCGCTCGCATTGGAAAAGGAATACATGTTGCACTTTCTCATGCTCTCGACAAGACACTTACAGTAATACTTTTCTTACTTTCTCTTGCTCTTTAGACAAGACAATAACTGTTTGGCTTTTGTTCCTTTCTCTCTCTTCCTCTTGACAAGAAAATAACTGTTATACTCTCGTTCCATTCTCTTACTCTTTAGACACAACAATAAATTATACTTTCGTCTCTTTCTCTTTTTCTCAACAAGGCAATAACTCTTATACTACTAAGATTTTCATTCACATTTCTCGCTCTAGACAAGACAGTAATACTTCTACTTTTATATTTTCTTTCTCTCCCAGGGAGCGTGACGTCGTCCTGTTCAAGTCCGTAGACAGGAGACTCCGACAAAATAACATGCAGCCGGCAGCAACTATGTACGACTTTACTTCCGGCACTGGGGTGAGTCCATGGAGACCAAGGACACCGAGCAGATCGCGTGTTTAGAGCCAGAAAAGGGCGCCACTGGTCGTTCTTACAGCTTTTCTTTCCATATGCTGTTTCTGTCTGTCTGTCTGTCTGTCTGTCTGTCTGTCTGTTTGAATGTCTGCTTGTCTAGCTTTACGCCAGGTGGTAGGTCCTACTTCTTTTATCTCCCTCTGTAATTTATGTCTGTCTGTCTGTTTGAATGTCTGCTTGTCTAGCTTTACGCTATGTGGTAGGTCCAACTTCTTTTATCTCCTTCTGTAGTGTCTGTCTGTCTGTCTGTCGTCTGTCTGTCTGTCTGTCTGTCTGTCTGTCTGTCTGTCTGTCTAGCTTTGCAAGTGGCTAGAGGGCTTCACATGTTAGGTGCTATTTCTTTTCTTTACCTGTGTCCCCTCTGTCTATCCGTCTCACCATTCCCCTACAGTGAGAATAACCCTTTTGTGTCGATGTGCTTATCTTTACTCACACTCCAACTCAAGCAAAACTGCTTCTCTTCTCTTGGTTTTTTTGTTTTTTTGGGTAAGTGTTTTACGCGCTCACAACTGCATAAGGTCATAATATGAGCACGCGGGACACACTAAACTTTTCCAGTTGGTAGGAAATTTTGAATTTTGCCCGGGTGGCGGCCGAAGCCTACTCTTATCGATTTTAGACCACCAAGGGATCTTTAACGTGCGCAACTTGCACACGGGCCCTCCGAGATTTTTCGCCCTTGTCCGAGAAGGCTAGGTGTAGATCTTTCCTACCAGAAGATCAGGGGTGTGTCAGAAAGACAGCAGTAAGGAGGAGCCAATGAGTAGCAGTAGAAAGGCTGCAGAAAGAGTCAGGAGCCCAGAGGAGGGGGCAAAGGAGGTGAGGGGGTGGGGGCAGAAAGTGGAAATGAAAGCAGATAACAGAACATTGCTAGAGAGAAGGAAAGGAGGAGAAAGGAGGAGAAAGGAGACAATTTTAGGTAAGAAAATTTTTCGGTCGTTACCCGGATTCGAACCCGGGACCTTTGAATGAGAGGCCAACACCTTAACCTCTAGGCCACGAGAGCCCCTGCCCTCTTCTCTTCTCTGAAACAACCGCTCTGGTCCCAACTCAAAATAGTGCTTTTCTTGTAATTTCCCCTCTCTAACATTGCTGTTGTTGCTACTGCTGTTGAGGCTGCTGCTGTTGATGCTGTTGTTGCTGCTGTTGTTGATGCCGCTGTTGCTGATGCTGTTTTTGATGCTGTTGTCCCCAGGTTATAGCCATGAGGCCCGGTCTCCGCTCACCCTGTTTCATCACCGACACTTCGCTCACACTCGCTGAAATCATTGCCGAACTCGCCTCCAGAAATGTACGTACATTGTGCTTGTTCTTTGGGTTTATTCTTTGGTGTGCTTGTTTATGTAGAGGTTTTACGGCGCTTGCAACTGCATAAGGTCGTATGAGCGCCAAGGTTTATTCTTTGTTTAGCTTTCTTAAATAAAACACCACCTAGCCCGGCCATTCAGTTTGCTAGAGACAAAATCTCTTTCTCCCCTCGACGCCCTAGAGGCACAAGAGGACGGATAAAGGAAGAAAGAAGAAGAATAGAACGCAACTTCCCTTCTAGTAGTAGTAGTAGTAGTAGTAGTAGTAGTAGTAGTAGTAGTAGTAGTAGTAGCTACCTTTAAATTACAAAGTTCTATCTGACATTTTTTGGCCGTTTTGAGTAACTGAAACCGTGGGGTCAGAAACCAAATTGAAATGTGAGACGTGCTGACAAAACGCGTTACTTCTCATATTTTAGCCCTGTAGAAATAGATAGGTTGAATTGATAGGCTGAGTTTGTACAATTCATTAGATGGAAATAATAAAAGACATGGTAAACTTGAAGAAAACGACATCAGTTGAGAGTCTACAAATTTACTCCTTTGATGATTTCTGCCGATATCTCCATTTGTGAAGTGCGAGAAGTAACTCATTTTGTCAGCACGCCCCACAAATACGCTATCCTCTCTAGGAAAATCCTAAGATTTTTTGCTTCTCTATGAAAATCCTAAGATTTTTTGGAGTCGTTATCAAGCTGTTCGAAGATCTGCATTCGAAAGAGCTTGACATATTGTAAACTCAAACATTTTTAACATTAAATTTCTCAAAACTAGGTACTGAGCAGATAAAACTTTGTCATTCTAAGACAGCGTATTGATGTTGCTGCTTTTTTTGTTCCCATAATGGGCCTGGTGGACTCCACGAAGAAATCTTCGAGCGAGAGCGAGGCTCTGTTTCAGCTCCATTGTCAATATACTTAAAGGCACCTCCACTCGTCCAAATAACTCCATTCGAATTGCCATTGTTCCTGGACATTCAAACATATATTTGACATCCTCCTTTTCATGGCCGCATCTTCGGCAACATGGGCTGAGCTCTTCATTTGATGTTGCAGCTGCTGCCGCCGCTGTTGTTGTTGTTGTTGTTGTTGTTGTAATAGTAGTTAGCTGTTGTTGTTGTTGTTGTTGTTGTAATAGTAGTTAGCTGTTGTTGTTGTTGTTGTTGCTGCTGCTGCTGCTGCTGCTGCTGCTGTTGTTGTTGTTGTTGTTTGTGTTGTTGTTGTTGCTGCTGTTGTTATTGTTTTTGCAGTTCTCATTGCTGTTGTTACCGTTGTTGTTGCTGTTGCTGTTGTTACCGTTGTTGTTGCGGTTGTTACCGTCCTCGTCGTAGTCGTCGTTGTTGTTGTTATTATGTTGTTGTTGTTGTTATTACGTCGTTGCTGTATTCCGTGTTATCACCATCACAGCTGCAAGAAACCAAAGCTAACTCTAGAATGATCTATATCAACCTCCCATCAACCTCGCTCTCTTTACGTCTCGTCTCCAGAACTCCGTGGACGTGACAACCACCTCCGACATATCTCTGGACGGCACGGGGGAACCACTGACAAGAGAAGAGGCTGCCACCAGGATCGAGGCTAACCCCGCACTGCGCAGATTCTGTCGTGGCGCGAAACTGATTGACGCCACGCCACTTACCAGTGAGTACATAATCATTATTAGTTTTATGATTATTACTATAGTTGTTGTTGTTGTTGTTGCTGCTGCTGCTGCTGCTGTTATTGTTGTTGTTGTTGTTGTTGTTGTTGTTGCTGTTGTTGTTGTTGTTGTTGTTCTTCTTCTTCTTCTTCTTCTTCTTCTTCTTCTTCTTCTTCTTCTTCTTCTTCTTCTTCTTCTTCTTCTTCTCGCTAGAACAGCAAAGTGTCCCCCCCCCCCCCGCTCAACCCAATACACAAAACCAAACGAAAATAAAACTCCACCACAAAAAAACACACTCAAGCAACAAAAACAAATTAAAAAGATACACCCCACCCTAAAGTAAATAAATACAAACAACAACAAAAATACAACGCCCCCCCCCCCCCACAAAAAAAATTTAAAAATAGAAAAACCTCAAGAATATTGGTAAGAGTTTTACGGCGCTCGCAACTGCATAAGGCCATATGAGCGCGCCTAAAAAAAACAACCCGCATGACAGATTTTAAAAATCAAAAGGTTGCACATTTGAAAAAAAAACTAATTTGTTACAAATCATTCCCATCGCTTCACCCTTTCTCACTCTTCCTCCTCCCTCCCTAAACGTCAACCCCTATACATTTCTCCCTCCCCCTCCCGCTCCAATCCCTCATTTCTCCCTCCTCCTTCTCCCCTCCTCTACCCTCTCCTCCCCTCCCTCCTTCCCCCCATACCACCAACCACAAAAACAAACATCTCACCCTTCTCCTTCTCCCCTCTTCCACCCTCTCCTCCCCTCCCTCCTTCCCCCCAAACCACCAACCACTATACCTTCCTCCCTCCCCATCCCCCTCCACTCCCTCCTCTCCCCCCTCTCTTCCTCCCCCCCCCCTAACCACCAACCACTATAACAAACATCTCACCCCCCCCCTCTCCTCAGCTCTGCCCACCGATCTGGAGACCAGAGACCGCGTCCTGTCCACAATCGACGCAAAGATCACCATGGTCACACCCGTCCCTCCACCACGTCCTACCGGGGGCGCCCCTGGAGGTGAAGGTGAAGGTGCAGGTGAAGGTGCAGGTCAAGGACAGGGAGGTGGCCGCGGCGGAGGCAGAGGCGGACGTGGTGGCGGACGTGGTGGCGGACGTGGGGGAGGGCGTTTCGGACGCGGGGGGCGTGGTGGCCGAGGGGGGCGTGGTTAATGCGGAAGGGAACGCGAACGCCATGATAAATGTATTATTATCCTGGTGAAGGAACGATCCAGAAATCGCGGAGCGACGAACGAGCAGTGTCCAATCAACACGATAGTTCACTGGATGTTCGTTTATACTCCAAGGTCCCATTTGTCCTTCAACTGATGTCATCATTTATTAGCGAAACAATTTTAGAAAATAATGTTAATTGTTTTCTTTCTTTATCCTTTTTTCCAAGCACTTTCATTACTTTCTTAGATCGGGATTCTATTTTGGTAGTATGAGGTTGTTTTGTGTGGTTATGCAACATACGAGCACGCACTCTTGTAAGATGTCATAGCATGGTTCCATCTGCTGAAACATCTTGAATAAACGAAAAGACGCTTATCATAAATATTATGAAATACGATTGTTATGTCCTTATTTATTTATTTATTTATTATGTTAATATTTATTGAATGTAATTGTAATCTTATGTATACAGTGGTTGTTTGTCTGTCTGTATACAGTGGCTGTCTGTCTGTCTGTCTGTCTGTCTGTTTGTCAGTCTGTCTGTCTGTCTGTCTGTCTGTCTGTCTGTCTGTCTGTCTGTCTGTCTGTCTGTCTGTCTGTCCGTCTGTCTGTCTATCAGTCTTTCTGTCTGTCTATCATCCGAAAGACTCAGCATAGATGTGCACTGACAAAGGGTACTTAGCGTCTTAGTGCAGAGCTTCTGTCTGCCCTCCTCCTCCTCCTCCTCCTCCTCCTCCTCCTCCTCCTCCTCCTCCTCCTCCTCCTCCTCCTCCTCCTCTCTCTCTCTCTCTCTCGCTCTCACTCTCTCACACTCTCCCCCTGTCTCCCCCCTCTCTCTCTGTGTCTCTCTCTTTCTCTCTATCTCTCTATCTCTCTATCTCTCTCTTTCTTTCTCTCTCTCTCTATCTATCTATCTATCTATCTATCTATCTATCTCTCTATCTATCTATCTATCTATCTATCTATCTATCTATCTATCTATCTATCTATCTACCTATCTATCTATCTATCTATCTATCTATCTATCTAGTTTTTCAAAGGATATAAAATATAAATCACTGAGTAACAATCATCATCAATTTGTGCCTGATCTGCAACAGACACTGGCGATCGTGGTTCTACGTTCATTCCTTTGCTCGGATGCTCTTTAAAAAAAGCTGCAATAATCCCGATCTCCCCCCCCCCCTCAACCCACAATGGAGGAGGGTACTGAAGGGCTCAGGGGCTTGAGCCCCTCTCCCCACTCCCAACTCTATCCCAAAGCAAATGAAAATTACGAAATAAGCAGTTGAAACTGTTAGGATCGCACGCAAGGAACACTGAGTGATAAACTTGGCGGCTTGCTCCTTTATCCAATCACTGTTGTCACCCCCCCCCCTCCCCGATCTGTTTGGGCTCTCAACTCAAGTAAGTTGCTCTGGGCCTGTCCCCGCTTCGTTGGTCTTTAGATTAGATTTTCCAGTGAGAGCTAGATTTTTAAGGCTTTTATGTCTGTCCTGAAAGTCCTGAAATGCTATGTTTGGTCAACCCTTCTATATGGCTGTGAATGATGGACAATCACTAAAGACAGTGAAAATAAAAAAAAGAAGCAACAGAAATGTGGTTTCTTAGGAGACTGCTAAGAGTATCGTGGAAGGAAAAGAAATCAAATGAGGTAGTGCTTGATGAAGCCCACGTGGGACGCTCAATGTTAAAAACAATCAGGAAACGACAAATGCAGTTTTTGGGACACCTGAATAGACATAAGGGTCTTGAACATCTAGCTCTCACTGGCAAAATTGATTGCAAGCGAGGCAGGGGTAGGCCCAGAACGACATACTTAGGGAACCTAAACAAATGGGTAACAGGGAAAGATCAGGGAAACGTGGCTTTTTTTAGAGCATCCGAGCAAAGGAATGAATGGAAAACCATGATCGCAGATGTCTGTAGCAGATCTGGCACTGGATGATGATGATGATGATGATGATATGTGAAGCGTGCCGACAAAACGAGTTACTTCTCGCAATCCACAAACGGAAATATTGGCCAAAAGTCCACACTATAGGGTCAGATTAGTAGATTTTCTATTGATGCCACATTCTTTTTGTATAACGTACCTTTTATTATTCCATACTTATAAATTGTAAAAACGTCACCTAATAGCGTGATGTATCTATTTCCATAAGGCTTGGATCTGAGAAGTAACTCATTCTCTCTGCACGCTTCACATAATTATGTCTGCCCAAGCGTCCCAGAAGCTGTGTTTGCGAACGTTGTATTTTAAAACCAACCTTTCCATATGTCTATCATATTTTTATTTTTATTTATCATTTATCTCTGGGTGGTTGCTGGGTATGTTTTACTCCTTCTTTCCTACAAAACTTCTATCGTCCTGATCTCTCTCCTCCTTTTTTGTATGTATACTCTTGCACCTCTTCTTGTCTTCGGCACAAGCATGACTTCATTTCGTTGTAAGCGCGTAAAACGCTGACTAAAATTAAAATCACCTCTTTAGACTATATCTGCGTCTGCCTGTGGTGTTGGGGTGAGGTGCTTCGCGGCCGCACGCAGAAGACACGAGTTCGATTCTCGTGTGGGGATAAAATGCTGTCAAGTATTTCCATCTTGCTATATGCGAGGCAGCGAGGTGAGAACAGGCGCTCGTCAAAATATAGAAAGTTTGAAGAAATTGGCATTTGTTGTTTGTTTTGGTTCAACACCTTCCATGCTCATTAAAGAGCACATTTCGGTGTGGATTTTAAGGAAAAACGTTCAGAACAAATGTAAATTTTCAGTTTCCACGTACTCTCAAGCTAAAGAAGTAACTCAACTTTGGCAGCCATTTTCTCGCTAATTTTACTTCTGAAACCAGGCCACCGCACCTTCTTCAATCGCAAATATCTCGACTTATGTTCAAGATAAAAAGATATTTCTTTTTATCGAAAGTAAAGCAAATGAACAACCTTTAAGATTACACCAATAACTTCATATGCCCACAAATTGACGAGCGCCCGTACCACTGTGCGTGACACATATTTTTGTTGGAACGTTGTATCCCTCTCAGCCCGGGTTGGCCTTGACAGATAAGGTCGAAGCAGTCTGCCTATTAAATGATCTAAATCGTGTCGATAAGTGCATTAAAAAAACATTAAACACATACAATTTTAAAAAAAAGAAAGATTTATAGAGCTTATTTATCAAATTAATGTTTAAGAATTGTTCATGAAGGTGAGTCATATATTTTTGTTTGTTTATTAGTTGAGTGATCCCTGGAAGCGAAGTCAGACTTTGAACAATGCTGAGGGAGCAGCAGGAGTGATCTTTCCACACTCTCGAATTTTTATTTTGGTTTGAATTCCTAACATTATCAGAAAGATGCTGAATCAGCAACAAGCGTACTTACTTTCGTTTTGGTAAGAGTTTTACGGCACTTGCAACCCAAGTAGGTCATGTAAGTACCGGAGATTAGATGCGTTGCAAGAGAGGAACGAACGCAAAAAAAGAAAAAGGAGAGAGATAAGGACGTCAGATGTTTGGTAGGAAAGAGGAAGCAAACCACACCAGAGCACCCGTCAACCACCCATAGCAAGTGTACGAGATTTCTTCGACTGTTTCTTTTCTCTGCTCTTTATTTTATCTTTAAAACAAATAATTATAGCCTCATAGTTTCAGAATAAGTCTTCTGTTCGTATGATCGTATGTTCGTATATTCGCACCGTGGTATGTTCATATGTTCATCTGTTTGTATTTCGTCTGTTCGTCAGTTCGTAAGTTCGCATGTTCTCATGTTCTCATGTTCGCATGATACTTGAGCATATCGTCGCTCTCGCAAGAAATCCGCTCAAGTTCATATAATTGTGAGGCAGCGTGGTGGAATCAGGCTCTCGTCAATTTTTGGGCATGTAGGGTTATTGATACCATTTTAAAACTTGTTAACTTATTTTTATTTGGATTAAAAACATATCCATTTCTTTTGAATACAAGTCGAGATATTTGCGAAAGAAGGGGGTGGGGGTCGCCTGTTTTCAGAGGTAAAATTAGTGAGAAAATGGCCGCCAAAGATAAGTTATTTCCTTAGCTGAAGAGTCCGTGGTAACTGAAAATTTACATTTTTTGTGTGCCTATAATCAACGTTTTCCTGAAGAAAAAAAAACCCACACAGAAATGAGTTCTTCAATGGGCATGTAAGGTGTTGAGCCAAAAAACAAAAAATGGATAAAAATTCACAAACCTACGGAAAAGGGCAAGTTTCTTCACTTTGATTATTTTGACGAGAGCCTGATTCCACCACGCTGCCTCACATATGTTCTCATGTTGGCATGATACTTGAGCATATCGTCGCTCTCGCAAACAATCCACTCAAGTTCATATTTTTAGAATTTTCTGTTTTTACACCCACCCAAACGTCTATCAAAGATGCACCTTTCAACATCATCATTGTGTGTGTGTGTGTGTGTGTGTGTGTGTGTATGTATGTGTTGTGTGTGTGTGTGTATGTATGTATGTGTGTGTGTGTGTGTGTGTGTGTGTGTGTGTGTGTGTGTGTGTGTGTGTGCGGAAAGATATCCAAACTACAGCTGAAACTAAGCTCCAGCGATACTCCTATCATACTTTCTAAGATAAGCCATTTTACAGTCTTGTTCACGATGCATATAAAAATGTGAAGCGTGCAGACAGAATGAGTTACTTCTCAGATCCAAGCCTTATGGAACTAGATACATCACGCGATTAGGTGAAGTTTTTACAATTTATAAGTATGGAATAATAAATGGTACGTTATACAAAAAAAAATGTGGCATCAATAGAAAATCTACTAATCTGACCCTATAGTGTGGACTTTTGGCCAATATTTCCGTTTGTAGATTGTGAGAAGTAACTCGTTTGTCGGCACGCTTCACAATTGTTAATTTCTTGTTCTTTATCAGCAACCGTTTGATTTTGTTTTTGTAAGTGTTTTACAGCACTTGCAACACAGGAAGGTCACTTACGTGCCGAAGATTAGAGGTATTGAAAGAGAGTAATGAACACAACTCAGAAGGAGGAGAGATGAGGACGATATAGTAGAAGATGTGGGATGATAGGAAAGAAGGAACAGACTACACGCACCCGCCAACCACCACTCAGGAACCGTTTTGAGATCCCAGCACTGCATACGACAGAAAACATTAGTCTCCTGACCCCGTTGCGTTTGCAAACATGTATCTTTTGTCTCGTTAGGGCAAAGAGGACCAAGGTACACACTGATATAAAATTGTGCCGTTGCTGAATCTCACAATATGAACGAACACATTTTAATCACACTTTTACAGGCAATGAGTCAGTGCACCGCATTTCAAGCAAACCCATCGATTAAATAAAAACAAAAACAGGTTTGTGAGGCAGCGTGGTGGAATCAGGCTCTTGTCAATTTTTG